GTGTCCAAGATTACCGAACGAAGCAGGGGCAATGACCGAAACCAGTTTTAGACCCATAATTTCTGGAACAAAATTGTTCACAATGATCCACAGAATACTTTCTGCATACGCGATTATATAGAAAAAGCAGACGATCCGCCTTATTGTGAATGGTTAATTCCTCTTCCTGAGAGATAACTTGGAAATCTAGCTGTCAGACTTACAAATAATACTTCCATATGGCGCTATGAGGTTTAAAGAGCTTTTCTTAAGTCTAAGCTASAGAGTATTGACGAAAGCTCTGACAACTGACCACACTATTACTAGTTGTGAATTTAACGGAATTACCCATTTAAGCCTCAACCATAAAGTAAAATATTTGTACTTTTGTTTGCTTCTTATATGTTATATTTCGGTTAGCTTGGGCAAATATTAGAAAGTAAGTGTTCACTTTTTGTAAAAGCTGCAGCTTTCGTCAAAACACAGTTAGATCCCATCTTACCAAATCTTTCTGCCTTCAAAAATCATATTTCGGTCTGATGGCCATGTGCACATATCTTAGAGAGTATTGATGTCCATGCCAAGAGTACCAATCGATACCTTGCGCTTCTTGATAATAATCATAATAACCACCCCTTATATATCGGCCGTTTAAGTTGCTGTTAAAGAAAAGTTATATAAACATTTTWTTACTTCCAATGTAGGAATGAATGGATCTACCTGTCGTGACAGCGATTGTACCACCAAGCACCGTTATACGTGACAGCACAACTCTTTGTGGGGTCATTATCATTATCACGATCGTGTGTGGAAAATTCGCATCCCTTTTGTTCCACCAACGAATCACCAGCATCGCCACTGTAACCGTTCAGTTTTTTTAAGGCATAATTTTCGTCCAAATCACCAATAGCAAAATCGGTATATTTTGCAAAGCGTTCTCCATCATGAAAGTCCTCCAACTTTATCCACAATTCATTGGGCCGATCATTGGTGAGCGCATACAACTTATCTAAACCGATAAAATATTCACCTTCCGGATCACCAAAACCGGTCACATAATCATCCCAGTCGCGATAGAAATCCTCAGTGCCATCCAYGCGTCGTTGTATCACCGTCCAAGCAGGACCGCCATCCGGATCGGCCAGACAATATGCTTTGAAGGGCGCAAGTTCATAATCGCGTAAGTACAGCTCAAAGACGCCACTTTCTGTGGTCTCATACGTGACGAAGGCTTCAGCACAATTATTCGGTAAATCGGCATYCGTATCGTTTTCGAGCGACTTACGGACACTTTTGTCTATACGATTTAGTTTGGTATTAAGTATATTGAGCAATGTCGATTTCATCTGGTTCATGCTGAATGGATAATTGGACAATTAATCGATGATTTSATTACAAATTGTTTGTGCACTTACTTTTCAGTCAATTTCGATTCCAAGTGTTCTCTTTCGTCCTTCGCTCTCTGAGAGATATCCAAATCACTTTCGATGTGCTCCGCATTTGCTTTCYCCAAATCTGTATAAATATCACGGYCTTGTTGGCTTAACTTAGTTTCCAATAGATTTATTTCGTTTTTCAAGCCCTTTTCTTCCTCCATAATTTCATCCAGTGTTGTTGGCAACCTATGTGAAAACCAATAAGTCGGTTATTAGCCCATCTAATAGATGAACTTGCGCTTACTTATAATCATAGATTTCCACACGGTATAATTTGTTATCGGTCAAAAAGACGACTGAATTCAACTTGGGACCGAAACACTTTTCAAAATTATCGCCACAAAGGAATTTTTGCTAAAGTGAGAAACAAAATTATTTTTCACGCTTAAACGTTTTTTTGCAAAAGGCTTTCAGCTGAATRGTTACGGTTTGATCATCTCCATCTCCGTTATTAGGATTAATGTCGTTGGCCACAACCCAGGACTCAAATGCCTCCGTAGTTGCGAGAAAAGAATAAAGTGCAAGCGCCAATAGTTTCAAATGCAGCCCCATGTTTGATTTGCGGAACTATCTATTCTGAATGCCAAAGTTTTACTTTGCGTTGCTATTTAAATAGGCGAATGAAAGCTAAARTAAAGGCTAATTTAATATGTTTTACTTGATCACAGCGAAGATAACAGTAATCGGAGCTACGTACTTTAAATTTATTATCGCTTTTGCTCTGTGAGTGAGTTGCCGCTGCAGCAGCCGAGTGTGTTTGCGCCTGATACTTTGGCTGTTGGTACGAAGTTCGTAGTTCAATACCAGAAGTTCTAGTAGGGTGAAGGATACATTTTTGTGTGCCACGTTTCCCAGTTGGGAGTTTACCTCCTGGTTCGAAAACATTTCTATAATATCTTTCAAGCAGGGACCAGCAACAAACAAAATAGCTGTACTTTCGATTCCCTTAAATTTGGATTTAAGTGGACAAAAAACTTATGTGAGATCAAATTTTTATTTCTCAACACCGGAAATCGGTAAAAAATATTATTTCTACTGTTATGAATATCATATATTGCCTAGTATTTAGAAAACAAAATCGACAGAAAAAAACGTGTTCGGTGGTTAGTTTTTCTGATTTCTGTAAAGACAACTGGCAAACAGATGGTTGTGTAGCACTCAGAATTTATTGTTTTGCTTTGCCAGAGTGCTTTGTTTGCAACGCGTTCAGGGTCTCCAAACGAACAGGCAGGCTAATTTTAAAACCCCCAAATCGTCGACTGCTGTTTACTTTTGGTTTCATACCTATAAATCCACGATTCATCATCTGTCACGTTGTCAGAGACGTGTTTCGAAGCACCAATCGTATTTTGCCATCATTTATTTCGGCCAATGAGCATGAGCCTTTCTTTGAGCGATCGACAAATCGTGTAGGATTCAACCTGAAAACTTATATCTAAAATTGTCTCAATCTCACGATATGTAATATTAGTTCGTGCACAGTTTCCGGAACAACTTCTGATTTTGGCCGACTTTCCTGAAATCACTCGTGCGACCTCGGTTGAATTTGCCATAAAGTCGATATACACTCTTTTTTAATGAAGGTACATCGCCAAAAATTTAATTTAATTCATCGATGCACTCTCTATGAGTTAATCAACGCCGAAAGTTGCAAATCATAATCGCAGGAAAGCGATTAATTCCACTTTTTGACCGATATGAATATTTTAAGTTACTGTATATAGCACAAATCGCGCTCCTATTCCCAAACTTTCTGAGTATGTACAACATTAAAAACGTCAAACTATAAACAAAAGTTGTAAATCGCCAGATGGCAACACTAGGGTTGCAAAATCCCGAAATATAAAAGGCAACCTTCCTATGTACATTTATAATGTAATAAATAATGCTTTCCAAAAACTTCTCCGGCGTGAGTAGCCTCTTTGAACTTGTTTAAGTGAAATTGACTTTCTTATGTTTTGTACATTTCCTGTTGCCTTATCATTATCCGAATACTTTGAATCTAACTAACAAATAACATTTAATTGTTGTATTAAAATCAATAAAAATAAACAAAAACGCGTTAGCTTCGCCTGCACCGAGCCTAATATACCCTTCACAGGTGCATTTCTTTCAGTAACTACATTCATATGTGTTCAGTTTGTATGGAAGCTATATGCTATAGTAATAAGATCTGAACAATTTTTTCGAAGATTATATTATTTCCTTAAGCAGTTATCAATTTCTTCCTCTATTACATTATTTATACGAACAATAACTCATACCAAATTTCGTGAAGATATATTGTCCAATGAGGAAGTTTCCCATGCAAGCATTTGATTTCGATCATTCAGTTTCTATGGCAGCTATATGCTATAGTTAACCGATCTGAACAATTTCTTCGGAGATTAAATTGTTGCCTTTAAAAATAATCTGCACCAAATTTCGTGAATATATCTTATCAAATGTGAAAGTTTTCCATACAAGAAATTTATTCCGATTGTTCAGTTTCTATGACAGCTATATGTTATAGTGGTCCGATATCGGCAGTTCCGACAAATGAGCAKCTTCTTGAAGAGAAAATGACGTTTGCAAAATTGCAAAACGATATCTTAAAAACTGAGGGTCTAATTACATATATATACAGACAGACAGACGGACAGACAGACGGACATGGCTAAATCGACTCAGCTCAATATACTGATCATTAATATATATACTTTTGGAGTCTCCGACGCTTCCTTCTAGGTGTTACAAACTTCGTGACAAACTTAATATACCCTGTTCAGGGTATACAAAATCGCTGATTCAAGAGGAAACCAGGGAATCAGCGCATTTTTTAAGAATTATAGGGAATCAGTGCCGAAGGTCAAAATCGGGGAATACGGTAACTCTAACCAGGCTCCAAGCTGTAGCAACTTTTAAGTTTAGTAGTGGTTGAATCTGTAGGGTAAGCCAAGGTATTGGATCCCTCGACAGAATAGTTGGAATAAATAATATGAAATATTGTATTTATATTTTGAAACTAGCCACGCGTATACCACCAATAAATGCGGGCTAAGTTTGTGCTGTAAAAAGCCTCGACCATAAATATACGGCCAAATATTCAACTAAATGGTTCCATGGCAATGGGTATAGCTCCTTAATTTCCTGAAGATTTCCTCTGTTAATAGCTGAAAAGGGAGACTATTAATTTCTTAAAATTCTTTTCGTTATGATTTAAATAAAAGTCAACATAGCCAAGGTGACAAAACATGAAAACTTTGTATGGAGAGTGAACACAATTGTAATTTACTTTTTTCAATGGATGGATATATAAGCAATTTTCTCTAAAAATATGTGCTTTACATAAATATTTCTAAATCAACTTCACAGGCACAGCCCAACGTCAAACAAACATTTTACAGCTGCTCAATTTTTAGGCAATGCACTGCTCGTTCATGCAACAAAATTACCATAAAAGTGGCACTACAGCAAAAACAATACACTTGGACCAAAAATTTCAAAAGCAAAAACGCATCAACATTGGCAAAGTTCCGCGTATTGAAATGGCAACAGGCGCAGCCGGTCTTTAAAATATGCAAGAGACGATGCGTTGCACGTTGCCACAGTTAAGTAGCGTACAACAAGCGTAAGTGTAAAGTATACTCGACACTTTTAATTGTTTTTCTGCTTACAACGCAGTCAACTGTGCGCTTTTATGGCCGTTCATGTTGCTTCCAGCGTTTCAGTTGTTGTTGGTAGACTATTGTTACCAACCGTTCGCGGCTTATACAAGCAGATATGTATGTATGTATACAAGATTCACAACGAAACCGTAGCGCACGGCAATTAAGTTCACAGTAATATTTTGTGTGCGACATGGCTGCTATTTGCCTACTGTTTCAGTTCGCTTATTTTGATTTGGCTAAGTCTACAATCTAACTATGTAATGGTAATACGCATCGAAACCTCGACACCCGCATCTTTACTGACTCTTGATTCGTATTATCAACGCCCATAATAAAATCATAACAACAGAGCTCATCAAGAAAGATAGGAACCCCGTTTTGTTGTTGAGTTCAACTTGGTGTATTCTAGGCCTCAAGTGCTATATACGAGTACATACATACATATGTATCAAGACCAAGCTAATGTTCTGATTCTCAGTCTAACAATTGCATGTTGATTCCTCAAAAGCCATTGGTATATTACCCAATATAGTACAAATTTTAGTTTTCAGAGGTCTGTGCTTTAATATCGTCGCTTTTAATTTAAAGTCCATAACAACGCTGATTCTTTGTGATTGGGAAAACTCCTAGAAATGGTTCACCAGATCCTTCTGTCAGACAGGTTTTAGAATTCGCAATTGAGTATATTGCTAACTATGAAACGAGCCGAAATAAAAACACTTTACATCGAAAATGGTTTTCAGTTGTCCACGAAAATGTCATCTGACGTAAAAAGGACGTCTTGATATTTGACTGACAGTACCTAACTCCTTTTTGTGAGTTTATTTGAAAACAACCTATTCCATCTATCTATTCTAGCAATCCTCATATCATTGACAAGCCCATAGAAAAATCATGGAATAACTCATTTTTTCATTGGCTTGAAACCTAGAATTAACCCCTTACAAAGTGATTTCGAAGCAAGTACCTAATTCTTAAACATTTCAATACTTCAAACCTTTGTTAGGGCCACAAAAATTTCGAAGAGAAAATACTGTCTCAATTTAATCGTTTCTAAGTACATTGTTCGTCGAATTTTGGACCAATACATTAGTTATAATATTGTTTGTAATGCTTAGGGGTCATTTTAACCACACTTACTTGGTATTTTCGATCTCTTTTCGTACTTTGCATCGTGTGCCATATTTCGCAGAATTTATTGCCGTTTTCATGGGCAAACATTTAACAATAATGACGTTCCCCTTCAATGGAATTCAATTTAGAAAAGCAAATAAGCGAAACGGCTTTTACTATTTTTATACTCTTGCACCATTGCTAGAGTGTATAATAGTTTTGCTCACCTAACGGTGGTATGTATAACCTAAAACGAATCGAGATATATGTATGTATATAGGGTTATAAACCAAAAAACACCGCTCAAGCCCCAACATCCCGAATATTTGGACACCAAAAACTATAGATGACTTTTAACCGAAACATCGGTTAATGTGTCGCATTTATAAAGGAAATTTAGAGATCAATCCTTTCGTCGAAATTTTGTTTCTATGTTGGTATGACTATCAATGACATCTGCGGCAAATGTCACATCAAAATAATCGTCACTGTTTAGTATAAGCTTGTATTTTTGAAGTACATAAAGTGAATTCAGCAATTTTTACCATGAGTGAAATTATTCAACGAATAAGTTCCTTAAAATTCTAGCATATTGGAAAAGGTCTTCGTTGATAATTGCTTGTCGTGAACAAGTCGTTTTGATTGGTACAAATTATTCAAAGGGGGTCGAGAACGCGCTGTCGACGAACCACGACCCGGACGGCCATCAACATCAACTGATGATCAATAGGTAAATAAAATAAAGGAATTGGTGCTTGAGGATCGACGATTAACACCGTTGGAATATCGAAAGGATCATTGCAAACCATTTTGAATGACCTTTGGGATTTAA